TCATGGGCAAAGGTATATGTTCAGCAATTTCTTACACCAAAAAAAATTATATTTCTTCCAGTGTTTTCCAAACTATCTCACTAATTCAGTTGAATTTTGAAACTGCCAAGTCATCATAACCTTTTCAGATCTCGGTTACCATTAAATTATTTTTATTCCTTCTTGAGCTATGAGAGGTGGTTTCTTTAGAAATAATCTTGCATCAGCTTTCCAATCATGGACTTGTGAGTTCTCTTACTTCTATATGCAAAGGCCTTCAGAGAATTTGATGTATTATTGAAGCTTTATTTATCTCGTAATATGAAATGACAGCATGATGCATTTAAAGCCTCGTCTAGTATGTTAACCTTGCGTACTTATTTCCATGGAAACATTTTCAACTGTTGTGATGTATTTTTCGCTTTCTTCTCAATTCATTAAAATAATCTATGTTTTTCAAACTGTTTTTAATTAATTTCTTTTTCACACTTTCTTAATTTCCTCTTATTGTTCCAGAACAGGAAACATCTCATTGAGTTAACGCCTTGCAAAACAGGTTAATATGCTAGAAATGAATCTTCTATGTTTGTGGCTGCACTTGATGAGGATGACTCTCAACGAGACGAAACATATCTTATCAATGAAATGGAAATTATCGCAATAGATGCTATAAAGCATATGCCCGTTTTTTTCAACAATGGTGCTGTCGGAGACATTTGTGAGTAAGCCATTCTCGTTTATAAACAGGCTGTGCGCCATAATGTTTATTTACATATTGGCTACATGAAATATGATTTTCTTTGTCAAGTTAAGTTTCAAAAGTTTCTGGAACCATTTCATCTTCACTTTTCTTAGCATCACAATTGAAAGCTATGGATAAACATGTTATGTCCGATATTGAAGTTTCGTGTTTCTTTGCCCTTGGAGGCCATTTACTTTAGCTTTCACTGACTGTTTGTGCGGTGAAGAGAGGCAGGGAACTTCATGCAATATTTTTGGGTTGCTGTGCCAGACTCGAAGTGTTTATTTTATTCATGGAGGCGAAAGGACCAGAGTGTAGTGAAGCTACCTTAACATGTCATCACATGATTCTTCAAAATATACAATTCATGTACAAAACTCTTTGTTGTCTGAAGCTTAAGCTATACATCTTCCACTTGACTGGCTAAAAAATCTTGAAAAATGTATTCCTTACTGATTCTACTACTATTTTCTAATCAGTGTCCATATCAGCAAAAAAAGATGCTTGAAAGTTGTAAAACATGGACTTTGCAAACAGATAAATTAATTGTATTTCCAGCATACTGCATTTGATGGAGCCAATCGTGTGAACCACTCTCGACTTCGTGTTCCTGGCTTTCATGCAAGTGGTTCCCGGGAACGACAGTAGTGGCGGATTCACAAATGAAAAGCTCTGGATCGGAAGAGCTGACTTTCTACTCTTGATTCAGAGATGAACTCAGAATTGGAGAAAAGCCAAAGCAGAATAGTTTCAAAAGTATGTGTATAGAGTATTACATGGAAATTGATAATTCTCTTAATTAAGTGTTGAACAATGTTGAAATAACTTAGACATAATGTGTTACCAATGTGTGTTATTGCACAGACATCCCTGGTGGCTGTGTGCATGAAACTTTGCTGAATATGGGGTGATTTGTTCAGAGCCATCGGACTGCCATCGCGACTCCTTACCAAATGGCTTGCAGTTGGCCTACTTATCGTCATTGCGATGGGAAGTGACTTCACCAGTTAGTAAATTGTTTTTTATCCTCTTTGTATGATAATAAATATTATTGATGATGAAGAAAAAACAGAAGCATCTGAACAGTATTCCTATTTTGGCATTGTTTTGCAAACCCGGTTAAAATGCCCAATGTTGAAGCCAATGTTACCATACATGTCTTGAATAAAAACAAATACTCGAGAAACAACAATGTTTTATAACAATTGAGTAAATTTGGGACTAATCATTAGTAACTTGAATGTTTTGTTTATCTGTTGTGTTTAAGGTTACACTTTTACTATTAGTGATTTATGTGAGTTTCAATTATACAACATGGCCCGGCCTGTCCAGCTGAGCATCCTAATTGAGCGTCTATCTTTACTTTTCCCAGATGAATGAAAAGTTCTGCCTGTCCTCATCTTTGTTGCACGAATATTTAACAAGAATATAATCATTTAAGTGAAGCGTGACGGTAGTTGAAGAGCAGATCTAATTTCTGATCCCTCTGCCCAGTACATACAGACTTTTTCTCTCCTTTTTTATTCAGCTGAATTATAGAATCAACTTCAATCAGCCTGCCATTGAACATTTCATGTTACATGCAGACCCTTTGTTTCTAGAAAACATTAAGACGAACATGATGTAGCCAGTCATTTTGGAGTAGAATCTCTTCTTCATATTTTGACAAGAAATCTGAAGGTTTCTCTCGTTCATGTCACTCAGACCTGCTGCTACATATGAGGACGCACCACCCGTGCTTCTACAATGTCGCACAGAGACTCTACGCACGATGCACTGATGAGGTTGTAACTGCGGTACAGCAAGTTGATGCGCATCCGATCCAGTGAGTACAAAGTGTTCATTTTTATTTTAGTTCTGTTCGCTCATTTTCAAAATAACTATTTGTACCAACTTAATTATAGATAATATAATGAAACTTGTGATCTTAGTGAACTGTAGATAGATATCTCAGGAGCGTGAAAGTTCTATTGGGATGTTGTTGTTACATTTTTCTGATGAGCTGTGAAGCCCAGACAGCAAGAGAGGAAAAAATATATATGAAAATAAACTATTCATATTTGTTCGTATAAACTTCAGGATTTGATACCCATTCTTTCTAACTTATTCGTTCAATTCAAAGAAATACTAATTACCCACACTATCAGCCTGGCTCTCTCTCTACTATACACAGTTTGGCTACCATAGATTTCGTAACCTCTGTGTTTATGAATCATTTATGCATAATAATAATTATAATAATAATTATATATTTAATTGTTTAATTTATTTTGAGAAATGTAGACAGATTTAGCAAATTATCCAAATTTTAACAAACCCTGATAATTTCCAAAGTTCTATTAAATGTTTAATGTTTTTAATATGAGAGTAAATTGCAGCAGCAGACAAGAAGGCACTGCTGAAAGACCATCAAAAGCATATCAGCTCCATGACTGAAGCAAAGGCAATACGGATGTGATCGTCATCTCTTTGAGCCTTCTACTGCTTGGCTGTAGAAGAGGACTACCTATACGCTAGAGTTTTACTCTAACCAGCTTATCTCAAAAGGTTAAAAAATGTATCATGATAAACTTGTGCCTTGTTGTATGTACGTCACAATTATTGTTTCATCGTTTATATCAGTGGCGACCTCATGTAAATTATATGAGCATGTCCACCCCATTAATCCTGATTTATGCATCTTTGAATATCCTAATGATATTCTTATTCACCACAGCAGAATATAAATTTTTCACGATAAAAGTAACCCAATAAATAGAACTATTTGTAAGCAATATTTATTAAAAAATCCTGCATTTACATTACTTAACAATGGTAGTACGTAGGTGGTAAGTTAGTAGTAATTAAAGACAGTAATGGAATCGATAAGTCCATCTATCATTTGCTTTGCTTTTTTGTTTTTAAAATTTAAAAAACCCAATTTTTTTTGTATTAATTTTTTTTTTTTTTTTTCCCCAAAAAATGTTATTTGAAAACAAATTGTCTCTTTTGCTGGTTTGTTTCTTGAAAGATTAAGAAAATCTTGATGTATAAGCATTACATTGAGCACTAATAATTTTTACTTGTGACATATAAAATTGGAGATTGTCATTAGTTATGTCTTGTACAATTTTAGTAAGATTGAAAAAATAATTGGAAGATATGTCTCCTTTCATCTAGTTTGTTAGAGATTTAAACTTTGTGTATAGGTATTGACGATCCAATCCTCTACCATCTAACTTGGACTCTTAACCTTTGAGAGCATCCTCTGACATGATTCAAGAGCTTTATTTAAAATACCTTATTAAGGGACCACAAAACAGATGAATACGCTTTAGCTTTGAACTAAGCATTATGAGTTAAAACATGCAGTTTGATTCCATTTAATTCCTTGCCAGGTTCGATTAGAACACCATGCCCTTTAGCAGAAATCCATTTACATCTCTTCGTTGTTAAAAAAGTTAACAACCCCGCCCCCCACCCCCAAACAGTCAAAATGTAGAAATAGCTAGTGGGAGAAATTAAGTAATATTTTAGTCGAAAGAATATAATAAGCTTTATTAACTAACTTAAAAAAGATTACATCAGCAAAGGCGTCTTAGTCACATACAGACGACAATAAACAAGTTGTTGGTCGTCCACAATACTTAGTAAATTTCATTTACTACCAGCATAATCATGAGAATTTATATCAGCCTGTCTGTTTGTAAATTTGTTTAATTGAATGCAGTAGCCGTAACTCATGGCACATCAGATCATATCGTGGAGATTTTATTATAATTAATGTTTAAAATTTTAATGAAATGTTATTTTCTTTTTAGTGGAGGTGGAGTAATTTTATACTTTCAACTAGTCTTTGCGGTTACACACCAATTGGAGTGGTCGCTTAGCCCCTATTGTGCTCCTGACATGGTTATGCGAGGTTTCTACCAATCTCTCATGAATGACAGGTAAGCGAAAAGAGAACAAAGAAATGTTCATTTGAATCGTATTCTTTCCCAGTCTTTTTAAAATTCCTCTTTCCAAGACTTCGTTTTTCTTTCCAATATATGTATTGAATAAAAATTCAGGAAGATATTTTGAGAAACTAAAATGAGTTGTGGATTTTCATAATGTTTATTACTGTTTTCTTTCCAATTGTCTTGAAAAAAACATTACGTCGAGTCATGTCAAGAAGAACTTTTAAAAACTATTTTTCCAATAATATACTCTTGATGGCAAACAGGTAAATATCAACTTTCAAAGACATGATGTTGTACA